AGTGTAACCACACCGATGGTCGACATAGTTACGTCGCACCCGACATAGCTATACCAAGTTCTGTAGTAGCTATGTTGGATCAACAGTGAACTTGGCGTAATTTTGCCAAGTCCGCATAATTACGTTGGTCCCCTAAATTTGGCGACTTTGTATTTTAATTTCGTGACGCGAGTTCGACACCTATAATCTACAAATATCACCAAAAACATTTTACAAGCATAAATCCATGATAAATAAAAAATATATTTTATTTAAAGCAAAAAAATTACGTAAATTTACATTGTATCGCATAGTGCTAATCCAGGAGTAAAATTTGTGTTGAAACTCAAGATATTAGAGCGTCACAACACTACTATAGTAGTGTCAAAGCGTTGCGACCTGATCAGGATAGTTTCTTGCGGGTTTTGACGTGGGTTTTGACGGTTCTTTTTTGTAGTTGAAAATGAAGAACGATAAAAGAAAACCAGGAGAGGGTCATTTGTATATTTTAATAGTATGTTATGTGGTTTTTCATAGGGATTTCTTTTTCACTTGTGCGATGAGTGGAGTGTGACTGTCCTTCTGTGTTCAAAGTGTGAAAAAGCTTGAGTGTGAATAGATTTTATACTATGATCATCAGTTTTACTTCATAACGGATTTCTTGGTGTAGCGTAGCTCTATCATTTTTTACCGTTCTCGGGCTTTTCTACGTTAAATCAGGTGATTTTTTTTCGTTTTGTGCGCTTTTGTTCAAAGTTTTATTTCAGATATTTCGAATCGGTTTCCACAATTTACATCTCCCAACATACACAAATAATGTAGTTCTCCATAATATGCATATAATACATAATACACCTACCAACACAAATGTTGGGAGGCACCTGGCGAACAACTTATTCCTGTGTTGTTGGAGGCCAACTCCCTTATTTGAACAAATGAAATCTATATCATGGTCAAGGCAATCAAGCCATTGTTCCATACCAGTGCTTTATAGCTCGTGCTTAACATATGCCCATCAAACTCGCAGAATACACTAGGTCAGAAAAGATTAATTTCAGCTCAAGTTAATTTATTAAAATAGAAGTTAACATCACGCAGATTATTTTATTAAATCTCAAATATAACCATAATGAAATAGTTTTATTTAAGACAGCTCCAGGAAGTTCTTCAAAAAATTCTTGAAACTAGGTGAATTACCTCATGATCAAATCTGTCAACTTATTGAAAGTATAAGTAACCTGCAATTTGCCTTTCAAGAGGTTATACTCAATTCAGATAAAAGGTGTCTGTTGGACATCTCATATCCTTGTATTAAGAACCTAGGAATAAAATAATAATACTATTGAAAAGCTCTAAAATTCCACTAACATTTAGCCAATTACCTTCATTAGAAAAATCAGATATGCCTTTTCTATTTGAAAACACCACTCATACCTATAAATTAAACAACAATCAACTGAATTGGCATCCAATTCTTTGTTCTTCGAAAGGTAAAATGAGATGAACATCGTAATATGTACAAAATTTATTTATATGAAAAGACATGGGTACAACAGCACTTTTATGTGACTTCAAAGTCTTGGTAAATTATAGTATTAAATAAAACTTCAAATACATTTACATAATATCAATAAATGCATGTAATCATAAATTCCGATGGAAATATGAGTTTCGAAGTCTATATCAACAAGGACCTTTTTTTTTATAATGGCATATTATTGCACGTTACCACATCCAACAATAAATTGCACTTGTGGCAGCGGGAATCCAAGAAAAAGCAATATATCTTGAACCCAAGCATTCAAATTCAATTCATGCTGTTGACAAGGAAATTAAACTGCAAAGCTTGCATCACAATTTCAGGGCAGCCAAATGCAGCAAATGTGCTTTATGCAAACTGAACCAGAACTACAAGGTCCTCTTAATATGCTAAAATAACACAAAATGCTTAAGAAATTTTCAAAGCCCCGCAGTTAACTAGAGAAAAAATTTAGTGAATAATATTCAAATGATGCATGTAAAACCCAACAAAAGACTGACAATAAATAAACAATTGCCATAGTCTACATTGAAAAAAAATCAAACATTCTCCTTGCAATATAAGGATAAGATTGCATGTAACAACACCTTCCAAAATGTTAAGAGTATCATTTCAAAGCTCACGAAAGGGATGAGCATCACAACAAAATATCAAGACTAGAGAAAACCAATATTAAAGAATAAACAAACAATGTGTTTGAAAAAGTTCTCAATTAATCAAAAAGTACCACATCCTACATGGATAATGATCAAACAGTTTTCCAGATTCCACATTGGAGGGAAGTTTATACAATATGTTTAGTGGAAACCATCCACCCATTGCAGTGAAAAATTTAGAAAAATCTAAAAAGTTTGTCCTATGAACTTGTTTAATCTGAATCATCAACAGAAGAATCACTCTGTTTCCCAAAAATAAATTGAAATACACAAAACAACGAGTGATTGATAACAATAAGTATTTGTATAGAAGTTTGTTGAGTCTTACATAGCGATGGTACATCTCCACAGCTTTCTCAGCTTCTTCAACTGTGCTCATGGTGACAAATCCGAAACCACGGCTCTGATCAGTGTCTCTGTTATAGATAACCTACATTCCCACAAATATAGAGAATATAACCTTCAGTATTGAAGGCCTTAGTGTGCTTAGCTCAACTAAAGATAATTTCAAACAAGATAAAAACTAAAAATGAAACTCTAATTGTCATAATTTAAACAAGATGCTCCCTCCACAACGAGACCAAACTAGGAAAAATAGTACTTTTGATTTCAAATAGAACTAAACAAGCCACTGCTCATAACTTAGGCTTTTATGCAGTAAATTATAACTCAATACATGGAAAAATAATACTCCGTAACAAAGCTGAGCATAATTTATTATCGCCTTCACCATATTTAGCATTATCCCAATTATTAGAAGTCTGACTTATGAACTCATTCTCTAGTCATTTTCGCAAAATGATGGATACGGTATTAAATCTACTCTGCAAAATTTGTGCACAACTTCTCTTCATGAAACACTTGGCCCATCCCTCCCCTCCAATACTACCAAACTAATTTTATCTACTAGTTTTATGGGTGAATTTTCTATATGCCCAAATCACCAAAAACCATTCTCCATTATTTATCTTCGATAGATATTACCTAATAAAATCATTTCTCAAACTATCGATCTTAATTGTGCCATAAACCCATCTTAGCATTCACATTTATGCCTCTCTAGGTTTGACTAAAGTAGAAACGAGCACAATTCATTAGAGAAAAAAAAAACTGCACTGAGAGTAGCATTGAGTCTGTGTTTAAGAGAATTAAGTTTAGGTGTAATTCATAATCAATTGATTTACTAAAAAATTTAAACTTATGCGCATTTTTCTAAATGATCTCTGCTTGAATCCGTGAAATTTTTAAGAAAATGTGAGTTGCGAGTATCATTAGATGCGCTCATTCTTTCATTTATTGGTTACTCATTCCTACAACAAAAAAAAATTACTTTCCACTCAATTTGTCCTCAAACAAACAAGGGAGTTAAAGCATATTTAAATTCAATTCCTTTAACATCACCAATTTCTTCTCATTCACTATCGTTCGATTCCCTATAGCCAACAGAGCCTTAGAGAGGCGTCTAAAAGCGAACAAATTTACCTCCGCGACTTCTACTATCCCAGCTCCCTCGAACAATTGAGCAAGCCTCTCGCTGTCCACATCGTAAGGGAGATTGCCAACAAAGAGCTTGGCCTCCTCAAGCAGCTCGGGATAAGAATCCTCCCCGTCATCTGCCCCAAAACCTTCATCCACTGTGTTATCACTCTCAGCCATAAAATCTCCCTCAGAAAACTCCCCATCAGGAGGCTCAAGCCCTTCCCCAGAGTTCCAATCGGAGCTCTCCTCCCCCACCCAACCGGAGGTCCGGGCTACGAGGGGAACAACTGAAGGCTTCTTATCCTTCCTGAGGGAAAGCAAGAGGGGTAGAACTGAAAGGGAAGAAGAAGAAGAGCAGCTGAGGCATAGGCGACTGATGGATTTTGAACGACAGCGAAATGAGTTATTGAAGGCGAAGTGAACAGGGAGCGAGGCCAGGCTGCTCTCTGCCAAGGAAAAGATCTTGAGCGCGGGAGCTGCGGACATTGCTGAAATGGGTGTTGAAAGAGAGGAAAGGGATAAGTGGGCACGAAGCAGTGTGGAGGGAACTGGAGTCGAGTGTAGTTATCGGCCGACTGCAAAGGCGGACTTGCGCTTGAGATGAGGATCGATATCTGTTCCCAGGGCAACGAAACATTACTCAGACAGGACCCTGTGCTACCCCTTTGTTGGAAAAATTATTGGTTCCTGACGGTAGGTGATCTAGGTGATCTAGGTGATCTAGGTGATCTAGGTAGGGTTCCTGACGGTAAATTCTACTTAAATTTATTTTTTTAAAAAAATTAAAATATATTCTGAGTGATCTACGGTCAGGATTAAACACCACATGCGATCTAGGTGATCTAGGTGATCTAGGTGATCTAGGTTAAGATGTATTTCGGTAAATCTTACCTAAATTTATTTTCTTAAAAAAAATAAAATATATTCTGAGTGATCTACGATCAGGATTGAACACCACATGCAGAGATGCATGTGGTGTCCGTACGCAACAATCTCTCACTTTACTGGGAAAAAAACATATGTGAGGTATGCGAAGAATTATTGCATACAGACGGACACCGCATGCATCTCTGTATGTGGTGTCCGATCCAGGTGATCTACGGTCATGATGTATTTCGGTGGGCCTCATCTAAATTAAAAAAAAAACTGAAATATATTCTGACCGTGGATCACCGTGATCTACGGTCAGGATTGGACACCGCATGCAGAGATGCATGCGGTGTCCGCAAGCAATAATTTCGAGAGGTATGTGGACCGAATATTTTCACTCAAATCGCCTAGTGCAAACCATCAAAAAAAATAGTAAATCCCAAAAACATCTGAACTCCAATGAAATATCGTCACGTGTAAACATCGAACCCACTGAATAAAAAATGAAAACCTCTATTTCTTAATGCATGACCCGACCCGAGCTGACCCATTTCTTCGAAAACAAAAGCCTTCGCGTCGAATAAATCTTCATTTTCGCCATCGGGTAGGGTTTCGCAGAGCGATTTTCTCAGTCTCTCTCTTCTAGGATGATAAATATTGCCTATGGAATCTATAAAAAATGATGAGTCATTTGAAATAAAGATGAGGGAAAATGATAATAAAGACGAGATATTAAATGGAGGCGATGGATTCTAAAAAATAAAGGCTATGAGTTTGAAACGGAGATGAGTTTTGTTGTGTTCGAAATATCATTTATGGTGTTAGTGCGGATCTAACTGGAATTGAGACCTTAGCGCAACTCGCCTTTTTATATTGAAGGTACTTCAACGGTTATACGCTCCGCACTTAGCTATCCAGCGTTTACCATTGGCACAATAACTGGTACACTAGAGGTGTGTCCTTCTCGGTCCTCTCATACTAGGGAAAGGCCCTCTCAATGCTCTAACTCCCACACCGGATATGGACTGAACTGTCTCACTACTTTCTGAACTCAGCTCACGTACAACTTTAATGGGCGAACAACCCAACCCTTGGAACATACTACAGCCCCAGATGGCGAAGAGCCTACATCAAGGTGTCAAACTTTCCCGTCGATGTGAACTCTTGGGGAAGATCGGTCTGTTTTCCCTAGTGCAACTTTTATCCGTTGAGCGACTTGTGGTGTTGTTGAAGTATTTTTGCGGTGTTGTTTAGGTATTTTTGAGATATAATATTATGTTATTATTAATTTTTGTGGTGTTATTGAGGTGTTAATATAGTATTATTTTGATTGATATTGTGGTTGTTTTATGGTGTTATTTTTTACTGGGTTTATTATGGTACTATTGTGGTTTTTTTGTGATGTTATTGAGGTGTTATTCATATGTTATTGAGGTTGTTATTGTGGTATTATTTTAGTGGTATTGTTGTGGCGTTGTGGTGATATTCGATTGGTGTTATTAGAGTCCTATTATGGTGTTATTTTGGTATTGGTGTAGTGTTATTCATATGTTATCGTGGTTCTTTTGTGGTGTTATTGAGGTGTTTTTATGGTGGTATTGAGATGTTATTGTGGTAATATTTGAGTGGTATTGTAGCAGTTCTGTGGTGTTATTAGACCGGTGTTATTATGATGTTATTGTGGTATTATTGCAGTGTTATTCAGTTGTTATTGAATATTTATTGTGGTATTATTTGATTGGTCTTATTGAAGTCTTATTATGATGTTATTTTGGTATTATGAGATGTTATTTAAGTGTTATTGTGGTTCTTTTGTGGTGTTATTAAATTTTTTGATTTGGTAAAGTGGTAATAATTGTTTTCCCTTGTTATTAATTTTAGTTGTTTTGGTAGAGATTTGTGTAAGAAAAGTTAGGAAATATGAGAGATATCAATTCTAAAACTAAATACCACATAAATCCTAAGTCCTAATTTAAAACTATCCCACCCCTTTAATATTAATAGATAAGAGTTCAATGAAATATAAGGGCTCAATCCACAAAGAAATATTCCAAGTAACCTAAAGATTGTACTTACAAAAATGTATATCAATATTTTCTTGAAGTACAGTCAAAATTAATTAATTTTATGCATAAAACATTTAATTATAAAAAAAATGTTGATAACAAATCTCTAAAGGCTCCATTAAAAAGAAATATAAATAATTCATGCAATAGCATTTCATTGTTAAATAATATTATTTGTCTCACAAAAGTTTATAACTGAAGTGATCCATCATAAACCTCAATTATGCAACAAAACCTCAACTTTGCAGCAAAAGTTTAAAAAAGTGATCCATCACATACCCATAGTAACTTAAAAGTTTAGTTAATAAAACATTATTAAAATCATTAAGTTTATTTTCTTCTATCTTTTCATACTAACATTCTCATATTATTGAAAATACTTCATTACATATCATGCATTTCCAATCATGCATTATCTTGGATTCAATAAATACCCAAAAATTAGAAGCATTTATATTTGATGGTGTGGAAAAAAATGTCAAATTTTAAGATTGATTAAATAATTGACAATTTACTTTGATTGGTAAAATACATATAACTATCAGAGTATTAACCATGCAAATTTAAAGTCGATAGGAGATTAAAAAATTAAATTAGACTAGATTTTTTTAAAGATAACAAAGTCTTATTATGAAAACTTTAACAAATGGTGGATATGCAAATAATTTAAAATCTAAATATATCCCAATGAAGCATAAAATATATCCATTCATCTCATCAATTAGAATATCTTTCTAGCTTTCATAAAATGAGATTTAAAGAGTTTAAACTTAGCATGAATGATGCTTACCATCTAGTTTAATTGATGTTTTCTTTTTCTTTTATGCAGTTTGACGAGCCTGAAGATAGTTCTAATGATCCAATTGCAGGCAGATTTTTCGCATCTTTGCACACAAAGAAGAAGAACCATATGAACAATATTGTGCTTATGCTTATCATATTGGATTCAAAGTTCGAAATGACGACATTAGTTTTTTTGTAAAATTCAAGGAATATTAAGACAAATGACTTCTTATGCGATAAAGCTGATTTTTAAAAAGATTTGAATTTCATCAACACGGTGAAGTTCAAAACAAGCAGACACAAGGATTGGTTGCAGTTGATGTTCAGGGCATGTCGGCACTATTTTTGGTGTGGGGTTTGCCCGTAAGAAGCTGTCAGTCATCGGAATTGAAATCCCGTTGCCCGCTTCGGAAGAACGTTTTAAAAATTTAGTTTTGAAAAAGATGAAGTCAAACGGCCCCCATAATTTTCATAGTTTAAATGAAAGAGCGTTTTACTTAAAATC